TCTTGCCTTCTTTAGTGTTGGGGAGCCCAGGAAAAGCTTCAGGACGAGAGTTGGGAAACTCGGCGAGTTGGGGTGTCGGTGTGTGGCAGTGAGTGGGCCGAGCCGAGAGGAAGCGAGAGCGCCCGAGTTTGCAGAGAGCTGCTTTGTGTTTGGTACGTATTTTGAGAAAATGGCCGAATGCCTATTTCAGTCCGGAATGCCGCCGCCGAGGCAGGCGCTGGTGGCAGCAGCACGTAGGAATTCGTGCAGCACGTTGGGTTTCCGGGCTGTGCTTGGACGGTCTTCCTGACCAACGTGCAAATTCCTTTAGAGTTGGTAGGTAGGGTTTGGGGAGTATGAAAAAGTCGATGTTTGGGTAAGTTACCGAGTAGCCTGGCTGTTAAGCACTTGAACAGCTTTTGCTTTGTGTGATGGCATTTGATTCCAACTTTCGTTGGTACATAAAACTCAACCGGTTTGGGCTTGTACAGTCGGTGAAACGGATTACTTTTTTGGGTTTAACGTTATTTTTTTAGTCCTTATCAATTATTTTGCTTTTTCCAATTTGCAAGAGAAGACCTAATTTGAGAATAACACCTTTTAGATTGGAAAGTAACATGGTTAAGGCAGTCTATTAAAAGGTCCAACATGTTTTCAAGGTGATCTTGTAATGGCTCCACTAGGCAGTTGGGCCAAGTCAAGCACAATGCAAGAAAGTTGCTGATTGTGAAGATGAGTTGACCCGTTACTTTATTATAGGGTTTGAAGGTTTCTTTACTTTCATGTGTGAAGTTTTGAATACAAACTTAACCTTTTCAAAGGAAAAAAGTCCATAAGTTTTATTTTAAAGAGATTGTCATTAAAAAAAAGAAACTTAAGTTTTCAAAGCATAGTGGATCCTTGAACAAGAGGAATTTGATCTGCATGGGTCTGATTGTAGATTTTGTTTTCAATAAATATATTGGAAAATTTCTTGGAGATATGCAACATTTTGAAAAAATTTACAGACAATACACATAGCCTAGAAATATCAAAAAGAAAAAGGTGCATCATGAGTGCATAAAGTATATGTAGGTACTGGAATATTTTATCATTTACTACCATTAAATACATACAAATCTAATAAAAAGTTAAAATTGATCAAAACTTACCCAAACACACTACTCATGGCATCATTTCTAATCTAGAGAAATGTAAACAAATGTAAAGATGCAGTATTAACTCATAACGCCATAAAATTAACTATAGTTCGTACTGTACTATTGTAATAATTTTGCGGCTACTTCCTGTTAATAATTCAGTGAGCTCAAGGGTTGTAAGTATCTACTTAAAACATGGGGTGATGCTAATCATTTCCTTGTGAGCAGACTCTCCAGTAAATTGTGAACCTGTTCAGTGCAATACTGAAAACCTTGGATAACACCAGGGACTCATAGTGACATTAGTAATGCTGGAAGTGCTCCCAAAGAAAGAGTAGTTACGACTAAGAAAAAGTTGAATTGCTTGATAATGTACGTAGAGGTTGATGTCTGCACTTGAAGTTGCCCACTACTTCAGGATAAAAGATTCCACACTAAGGACCAATGTTTAAAAAAAAAAAAGAAAATTCGTGAAGTCATCACTGCAGCTATGCCAGCAGGCCTGAAAACCTTGCACATTTTGGGAAATTACTTTTTATCTTGTATTAAAATGTAGCTTTTATGTGGGTGCAGGATTGCTGTAAGAAAGGCATATGTATGGATTCTAAAATGATTTGAGAAAAACCATGAAGAATATCATTGAGAAATAATATCAGCCTCAACAGGTTTTTAATGCAGACAGAAGTGCCCTATTCTGGGAAAAAAGTGCCACAAGGGATATTTATTAATAAGAGAAGCAAACACCAGGGTTTAAGGCAGGAAAGGATAGCCTGACTCAATGTTTTGTTCAACTATAGTGGGGTTTATGATCAGGACTGTACTTATCTGTAAAGCTGCTAGCCCCCAAGCCTTGAAGAGAAAAGATAAACACCAGCTGCCAGTCTTTTGGTTGTGCTACAATAAGAAGGCTTGAACAACGAGAACCCTTTTTTCTGGATTGGTTCCATCAATGCTTAGTCTCTGAAGTCAAGAAATAAATTGCCAGTAAGGGACTACCTTTTAAAGTGTTTTGATTTGGGCAGTACCCCTGGCCATACAAAACCCTATGAGTTTGACACTGAAGCTGTCAGAATGGTCTGCTTGCCCCCAAACACACTGTCTTTAATTCAGCCTGTAGATCTCAGGGGATGTTAAGCATTTTAAAGAGGCTCATTACATGTAGTATTCTGTGGAAAGATTGTCAGTGCTATGGAATGGAACCCAGATAGAACATCATGAAATTCTGGAAGGAGTGCACCGTTGAGGATGCCATTGTTACAGAAAAAGCTGTGAACGTCATTAAGCCTGAAAAAATAAATTCCTGCCATAGAAAACCTTCCAGATACTGTGCATGACTTCACATGATTTATGACAGAGCCAATCAAAGAAATGGGAAAAAGATTCTAGATATGGCCAAAAAAAAGTGAAGTGTTTCAACATAGGGATAGGGATCCAGAGAAAATTCAGCAGCTAATAAATATGTCAGAGGAATTAAGATGCCTTGATGGAGATGAGTACTTTTCCAACCAATGCCAGACTTTGAAGAATAAGACGTAGAAGAAGCAGTACCAGAAAACAAATTGACATTCTGACAGAAGGGTTCCGATTATTCAAGATTGTTTTTGACCTATAACGTGGACTCTTGTATGATATGGGCACTGAAACTAAAGCAAATGGTAGAAGAAGAATTAGTACCATGTAGAAACGCTTTGGGAGAAATGCTAAGGCAAAAAAGTTAGGCAGAAATTAGGATGTATTTTTGTCAAGTCATGCAAGTATGCCTGCTTCTCCTGCCTTCCCATCCACCTCTTCCACCCCTGAGACTGCAAGACCAGCCTCTTCCTCCTCCTCAGCCTCCATGTGAATGAAGACCACTAGGATACAGACCTTTATGATGACCCACTTCCACGTAATGAGTAGCAAATAATCATCATGCTGTACAGTTAATACACTTGCTTGGTGTGTGTGTGTGTGTTGTGAAAATCTAGTAACTATGGCTAGAGCCCTGAAATGTTTTTGTCATCATCTTTATCTCCTGAGTGTTCATTGTGTAGAACAAGGTTTGCAAGACTTGAAGTGGATAGCCTATCCTTACATAGGTATAAAATGATTGGTATTTAATATAAAAAGTTGACAAATATAAATTTGTTTTCCTACTGTTTTATAACTTTGTTTTCAAATAATTACATTACTGTACAGTATGCTTTTTTCTTAATTGGTCATCTGTTTATCAGCCTGTCATCATAGGTAATTTTTTTTTTAATGTAACATTGTTTACAACACTGTATTATGAATATGGCTGTAATACTGTATGCCATAAAAATGTTAAAAATGATTCATTAATTTGCATGTATGCTAGGCTACCAGGAAGCAATCATATTGCTGCTCACGTCAGTGCATAAATTGTTATACCTCTAAATAAATATGAATTTCTTTTTTCACATTGTCTTTATTTTTGATATCTAGTATTTGTACTTTTTTTGACATCTACAGTATTTTGTATCATATAAGACAATATGGATGTAGATACTGATGATTCATCTTGTACACAAACTTATGGTATCATTAAATATAGTACTGTAAATGTATTTTCTCTTATGATTATCTTAAGCTTACTTTGTTGTAAGAATACATATAATATGCAAAATATGTGTTAATCCGCTGTGTTATTGGTAAGGCTTCTGGTCAGCAGTAGGCTATTGGTAGTTAAGTTTTTGTGGAGTCAAAAGTTATCCTCAAAGTGGGAAGGATATAGCTCAAGTGGTAGAATGCAGGCTTAGCAGTCACAGGGGTCATGAGTTCAATCCCCAGTACCTCCTCTAAAAATAAATAAATAAACCTAATTACCACCCCCAACCAAAAAATAAAAATAAAAACCGAAAAAAGTTATTCTCAGATTTTGGACTAAACCAGGAAGTCAGTGCCCCAAACCCTTTGTTGTTCAAGGGTCAGCTCTAGTTTATTCTTTTGTGGTTAATTGGGTTCATATGAGGTTTAAACTATTGACCAATTATTACAGGGTTCTACTTTTCAGACTGTACTTAATAAAATGCAGAGTTGACTTGGATTTTTCACCTTTCTGATTCAGACCAGTAAACTGTTGAAGCAGGAGTTGGGAGGATAGCATGTATGGAATTCATGTATGGAATTTAAAATATAGTTTAAATTAACACTAAAAATGAAGGTAACATTTTTCTATCAGAAAAATTAGAAGTGCTTGAGGGAAGGCACACCCGTAGTAGACCGGGAAGAGTTATGTCAGACAATTGAAAGAATTTTTCTTAGGGGTTGTAGAATTTTTTTCATATATATTAAAAAATATATTTTAAAGGCTTATTTTCAGTAATGAAGCTGATGAGTTTAAAGATTATATCTGAAAATGTATTTAAGTTACAAAGAATTACAGTGATGTTTTGGTTTTAGACCAGTAAAAGTTGTAATTTAAAGTGGTGCTTTTGTGTTTTTTTTTTTTTTACTTATTTTTTTATTTGATTCTAATTAATTCTATTTTTACACTTGTTGTGTCAAATTCCAGTTGTTCCACAATTTTTCAGTCATTCATGGACATATACACACTCATTGTCACATTTTTTTCTTCTGTGATTTATCATAACATTTTGTGTATATTTCCCTGTGCTATACAGTGTAATCTTGTTTATCCTACAATTTTGAAATCCCAGTCTATCCCTTCCCACCCTCTACCCCCCCCCTCCCCCCCGGTAACCACAAGTCTGTATTCTCTGTCCATGAGTCTATTTCTGTCCTGTATTTATGCTTTGGTGTTTTTTTGTTTTGTTTTGAATACAGAACACAGTTATGGCCACCCAGGTAATGGGACAGTCTTCCGGAGGAGGAGGGCTGTTCCCCAGCAGTGGTAGTATCGGCATGGCCTTGTCTAATGACATGTACGACTTGCCTGATCTCTCCAGAGCAGAACTGGCTGCACCTCAGCTCATCATGTTGGCAAATGTGGCCCTAACTGGAGAAGTAAATGGCAGCTGCTGTGATTACCTGGTTGGCGAAGAAAGACAGATGGCAGAATTGATGCCTGTTGGGGATAACAATTTTTCAGATAGTGATGGAGAAGGACTTGAGGAGTCTCCTGAAGAGAAAGGTGAACACAGTGGACTGGAAAACATGGAACTGGAGAGTTTGGAACTCAGTGTTGTGGAACCACAGCCTGTGTTTGAGGTATCAGCTGCCCCAGAAACGTACAGCTCAAATGAAGATCTTCCTCCAGAAACACCTGTAGCAGAGGACAAATGCAAGAACTTGAAGACCAAACCCTTTCGCTGTAAACCATGCCAATATGAAGCAGAATCTGAAGAACAGTTTGTGCATCACATCCGAGTTCATAGTGCCAAGAAATTTTTTGTGGAAGAAAGTGCAGAGAAGCAAGCAAAAGCCAGGGAATCTGGCTCTTCCACTGCAGAAGAGGGAGATTTCTCCAAGGGCCCCATCCGCTGTGACCGCTGCGGCTACAATACCAATCGATACGATCACTATACCGCTCACCTGAAACACCACACCAGAGCGGGGGATAATGAGCGAGTCTACAAGTGCATCATTTGCACGTACACCACAGTAAGCGAATATCACTGGAGGAAACACTTGAGAAACCATTTTCCAAGGAAAGTATACACATGTGGAAAATGCAACTATTTTTCAGACAGAAAAAACAACTATGTTCAGCATGTTCGAACTCATACGGGTAAGCGGACCTTTCTCCTTTATAAGTGTACTCTATCCAAAAAAATGGAACAGTCTCAAAAATGTGAGAAATTTCAAACACCTCAGAAGTAAACAGAATGCCCCACTGCACCCACAGGTACCCATCACCTATACTTAAGTTATCTGTATTTTGTCACATTTGGCAATTCATTTTTTAAACATAATAGCTTTATTAAGATGTACTCCACTACCTCAGAATTCATCCATTTAAAATTGGAACGCATTGGTTTTAGTATAGTCACAGAATTATACAGCCAACACCCCAATCAGTTTTAGGACATTCTCACCCCAAGAAGGAACCCCTATCAGTGGTCATTCCCTTTTCTTCCCATCAGCCCTTTATTATTTCCTTTTAAATTGACTTTCAAATCTTTACAATTCAGGAGTCTCATTATTTAAAAGAAATATTTGTAGCTATTTATAGTTAATTTTCTTATTTACATTACTTTTTCCTGTTATGAATTGGTACTTTTGAGGACTGATTACTGGTCTGAGCGAAATGGATAGGGTAATGTGGTACTGTATCCTTTGCATCACAAGTGAAAAGGGGCTGTGGGATGCTGTTTACATCAGATCCCTTTTGCAGGAGTTAATCACTCTGTGGGATTGAACCCCAGGCTAAGTGGATCATAGTGAGGAGGGGAATTCATGTTGATTTACATGGTAGACATAAATAATAAAACTTGTAGACAAAATTCCATTACAAGAAAGACATTTTCAGCAGGATTCTAAGCCCCAGCAGATGGCTTCTGTGTAATTTAGAGCTTTAAAATCTAGTCAAGTAAAAGAATTTGCATTCTCTTTGGAATTTGTTGTAGCCTGTGATTAATTGTCTCCAGGCTTTAAAACCATTTTATTTCAAAAGTAAAAAAAATTCAAACATGTCAAAACTGCATGACATAGGAAATGAAAGTTGGGAATCTAGACCATTGAAATCCCTTAACAGTTTTAGTTAAACAAACTGCTAGATTTAACTAAACTCACCTGCAATATCCCAGATACCACATATACTTTAGCCATAAGTACTTTATATTCTTTTAACAGTTTTTTTAAAGCCTCGGGAACTAATTTAGAATTGGCTGTAATCTGTAGAGCTTTAAAAAAAGATAGTAACTATGACATAAGGTCAAGTGCATGACTTTTGTGTGTACACCCTCATGAATTTTTTTGATTGAGGTATAATTGACAATGATGAATTACTACAAATATTTGTGTTCATAATCACCATGCAAGTCAACATAAAGAATATTACCAGCCATCCCATTTCCTTTGCCTCATTAAATTTTGATTCTGGGGTGGGGGTCAGTTATATTTTGATGATTTCAAAATTGAGTCGCTGAACAATTTAAAAAATTTTCCAAAAACCTAAAAATATTTTCAACAATAAATCTAAATTATTTGATTTAAGGACTTTTTTTAGAAGAAAAAAAAAGGAAAATGGAGAGAATTGGAGAAATTTCAGTTTTGGTGTGTAATTTCAATTTTTTATGTAAAAAAATTTTTTTAAACAGGAACTCTACTTTTTGCCATTTCTTAATTTTTTTTGTGATAGTGGTTTATTTTAATTTAATTACAGTCTAGGTGACTAATTTTAATGGCTTATTTTATATACTTCATCATCCATTACTTTAGCTCCACATTAATTTAAGGTTTCCACAGTAAGGTTATGACTTACATAGCTAACATTGGTTTTATATATCTCATTACATGTTTTAGCATTAAACTTACTTGGTTTAATACTTTTTAGAAAACTTCCACCTCCTGGTATTACCTTATTTGTGTTTTTTTAAAAATATATTTTTATTGAAGTATAGTCAGTTTACAATGTTATGTCAATTTCTGGTGTGCAGCACAATGCTTCAGTCATATAGGAACATAACATACATACATTCATTTTCATATTCTTTTAAACCATAAGTTACTATAAGATAATAAATATGGTTCCCTATGCTATACAGTATAAACTTTTTTTTTAAACAATTTGCTGGTGTATAAATAGAAGGATAATATTTTGATTAGTAAATTCTGAGAGGGTCACTGCTGTTAATTGCACAGTTCTGAAAATTGTATTTATGGAAAAATAAATTCATTGAATGCTGTAGAGCAGAGGTAAATGATCATCATTGGAAATCACGTGTTTCTCATTTCTCACTTAGGTGGTAGCCTACTGTAAGATTCACTTAGTAGGTTTCTTATGTTCTTGATTGAGTACTCAGGGTTAGGTCATTTCTTCTCTATACTTATCTTCAGAACAATTTAGTGAAAAAAATAGGGTAAGTGTTCACGAGAGAACCTCCGCCTAAAGTGATTTGCCCAAGGTCACATACAACTAAGATTGAAATTTCCAAATCACTTTTTAATGGGTCATTATCTTGGTAGAGTCTGAGGATTTTCATTTGAGTCTTCAATCAAGAGATTTTTTATTTTGTGGTTTTGATAGTTAACCAGTTCAGAATTTCTGCTTTAAAAAGTGACATTTTTGTCTGTATGTGTGATTGAAAAATTACTAGCTTTTCTAGAGTATTTATGCCTATTTTGGTGAATTGCACAAATAGAAGCAATCTGTTTTGTTATAAAGAATTTAGAAGTAAATTATCCTTAGTTGATCCTTCATGTTAATCTGTAATGCTATTTTTTTTCCTTCCATTAACTTTCTTTGGTAATAACTTAATTGATAGCATTTTACATACCATATAATTAACTGTGGATTGACCTATTCTGGTCATTTCATATAAATGGAATCATATAATATGTGGTCCTTGGTAACTATCTTTTTTCACTTAGTATAATGTTTCAGGATTCATCCATGTCATGTATACAGTACTTGTTTTCCTTTTATTGCCAAATAATATGCTCTTATATGGATAAGTAACATTTTGTTCATCTGTTTATCAGTTAGTAGATATTTGGATCATTTCTACTTTTTGGCTGTTACGACTAATACCGCTGTGACCATTTACATACAAGGTTTTGTTTAGTCACATGTTTTTATTTCTCTTGGGTAAATATACATGTAGGAATGGAATTGCTAGGCCATATAGTAATTACGTTTAATCATTTGAGGAACTGACACTTTTTCCCAAAGTGGTTGCACTATTTTACTATCCCACCAGTATTGTACAAGGGTTCCAAATTCTCCATATCATAACAAATACTTGTAAACATTTGTCATTTTGATTGTAATCATCCTTGGGTGTGAAGTCTTCATGTCTGTGTGGTTTTGATTTGCATTTCCCTTATGGCTAATAATATTGTGCATCTTTTTGTGTGCTTATTGGCCATTTGTATATCTTCTTTACAAAAATACTTTTAACTTTTTTCTTTTACTTTCAACATTTTTTAAGCTGTCTTAAAATTCTTCTGGGTCAAAGTAGGCATTCAAACAAAGTAGGCATTCTATTTACAGCTTATCAGTAACTACTGGCTAATAACGGCTGAATAGTGTCTTGGAACACATTTCACACTCATCAACACATGCTTTTGTTTCTCCACGCTGTCTTTTTCCTTGCCCCTTTTTAAAGACACATCTATTACTATAACTCATATATAGACAAAATGGTAACAGATATTTATTGAGGGTTTTATGTGCCAGACACTGTGTTAAGTGTTCTGCACGTATTATCTTGATTTAAAATTGCACACTTCTGTTATTACTTTTATAGATGAGGAAGCTTGCCCAAGGTCATACTTACTATCTTGTGGCCAAAGAACAGATGAAAGCAAATTATCAAACTATTTTTTTCAATGTTTTGTGGTGACAACCCATGTCCAAAAAATACACCTTTCCTGCTTTTGAGTTTTAAATTCTTTAGTAATAAATCACTTGCCTCCTGTCTTCAGTTGCTCTCAGTCCCTTCCTGTGGCTTTATGATTATAATTTGCTTTAACACTGACTTGACTATTTCATAAATGTCTTATCTACCACTTGAAACTTTTAGCTTAAAACAACAGGCTCCCCACTCAAAAATATTCTTGCTTTAAGCTGACAGTTTCCAGTGGAGATTTATCATTTCAAGGATCAAAAAAAATTATCCAAGCCATAGCATCAGAAAATTTGAGTAGTTTTTTTTGCTTGTTTTTGTTTTTTAAGAGTAATTCTAATTTTTTAAAAAGTTCCTTGATACCTGATCAAGATAACTTTTCAGTTCTTTTATATTTAATGTAATAACATGGCATTACTGTGAAAATTAAAAGGGCTGTGTGGATTCAGAAAGTCAATGATTTTTTTTTTTGTCAGCAAAGCTGAAATAACTAGTTATGTGTATTCTGAATTAAATTGCTTACCTTTCTAATACATGATAAAAATTGGTCATTTTTCCAGGAATAGGGGGGAAAAATTCTTGTGAAAAAATGTTCAGTACTGAATGATGTGTATATTGTTAGTGAGAATTGCATCTGCCTTATTATATATGAACACTAGTTATTATATTTTTACAGGCGAACGCCCATATAAATGTGAACTTTGTCCTTACTCTAGTTCTCAGAAGACTCACCTAACCAGACATATGCGTACTCATTCAGGTTGGTAAGAAATGAAACTTTTCTGTCATTTTTAGTAAACTACCATTATAAGAAGGTTGTTCTAGACTTGGAACTGGGTCCTTATTTATGGTTTATTTTTAATATAATATTGAAATCAGAGTTAAAAATTAGGGATTTACTAGTGTGGAAGCTGTATTTAAACGGAGATTCCTAACCAAGAAGTCCATAGGTGGAATCTCTAACACTGAATGTAAATGTATGTGTGCACCTTTCCTGGGAGGAGGGTCCTTAATTGTTACCAGATCTTACCAAGTTCCACAACTGTAATAAAAGTTGAACAGCTATCATAGACCAAGTCTGGTTTATCCTTTTAAAATAACCTCTACCTCCTCATACTCCTGCCAGACTCTTCTCCACCCCCCACCCCACAATGCTCCCAAACAGTATAATGCCAAGTTTCATAGTGTGTGGTTCTGGTTCCAGGGATTCCTTCTTAGTTGCTCAGGTCCTTAAATTTGGGTTTGTTGTCTTGAGAGTTGATAGGGCTTCTGAGTACTGATTTACAAAAGCCAGACTTTGAAGAATGATAGATATTCCAGGATCCCAATTTATTAACCTATAATAGATAAAATGCAGGACTATAAGTGGGAGATTCATCCACTCAAGTGACTGAAATGATCATGATCACCAAGCAGAACTGGTCCTCTATCAAAATATGTAGAGTGGCAAAGGTAAAAAGCCATAGGCAGCATAGATAGTCTTGAATGGATAATTATTTCATTTTGGCCACACTGACCCTTGGTGAAGAGGCACATCTGATCAGAGTAGTCTCCTGGATTTACAGTATAGACCTCTGTGGAGAAAGTATGCAAAAATCTTGCTGTTTACCAAAGTCTGTCTAGACCCAATCCCCTCAAGTTAACAATTACCAGTTATCTGAAGTTAACAGTTCTATTGTTTCATTAGATAGCCATGAGCCACATGTGGTTGTTGGGCTTGTAAAAGGTGGCTGGTTTGAATTGAGATGTATCAAATATATACCGTAATTTAAACAGTATCAAGAAAATTATGCAAAATATTTTAAATATTAATTACTGAATACTGATACTGAATATATTGGGTTAAGTAAGTAGTAAAATTAATGTTACCTGTTTTTGTTTTTGTCTTTGTAATGTGACCGTTAGACAAATTAAAGTTACGTATGTTGCTCGCATTTTATTTCTATTGGATATGGATATTTTTATGTCACTGGTTGAGTAAGACTTGATTACAGTATGGATTCTAAATTGAGCAGCAGTGAGGGGACCCAGCATGCTTGCTGGCCTTTCTTGACCCTACATGCCTATCATGTTATATAAGTTGAATGTTCCTTTTTAATCTCCAAAGCTACTGAATTGCATCACTTACCTGGAAACCTGATTTTAGTATTACTTTTGGGTGCTTCCTGCTTGCTTTTCCTGCAGGTAACATGGATGCTTTGTTGAGGGTAGACATCATGTCCTACTGATAGTCATGCTCTAGCTCTTAAATAAAAAAATATTGAAGTGCTTTTCATGAGTTATCTCATTTTTGTTTTCATAGCTATCTTATGGTGTATAAGTTCTACTTTCCCCATTTTACAGAAGGGGAAACTAAGGCATTGAAGAAATGCCATTTTCTTGTCCAAATGTCCCCTCTTCTGGATTTGTCTTACTTGCTTTCTCATGGCATCATTTCATTTTTTCTCTGTCCCTGTACCTTGTATTATGTGTCCTTGTACACTGGAAATTAAATCTAAATACTTGAATTGTAGTTAATAACATGTCTCACTTGAAGTCATCTCTGGTTGACCTATTATTAGTGTCGCTGGATCAGAATGACAACAGACTTGTGTCTTTTTAATTGAATTGCTAATACTTTAGTCACTGTATAAATGTTTATCTATGGTGTTTCAAGCCAGTCAGTAATTATTGCCTGCGTGTTGCCTACTTTTGAACTTCCTTTGCTATATTTTAAAGGTGATTTTTAGTAGTTGCTGTTACAGTACAGTATTTAAGTAGTAAGTATTTAAAAAGTGTTAATAATGTATAGTACTATCTATCGTATGCATGCTGGGTACTGAAAAATTGGGACTTGTTTTCTCTAATCTTAGTACCACTAGAATACTTAAATCCTGGTTTATAGATTAGGACTCCAGCTTGGAGAAGATAAATGCTTTATCTAAGGTTGTCATTCCTCCAAGTTAGAAGAGTTAGGGTTTGGCTTCAGACTCCCCAACCCTCATTTTCAGTCATCAGCGGTGTTAAAAGGACATAGTGGCTCAGAAAATGGCTCAGGAAGCTACAGCATAATGAAATTGGAATCGCAAAGTACAGATAGCAGAGCCTTTGTCTTTTATTGGATGCTAGTAATTTGTGAGTCACAAAGAGGAAGCAAGCACGGCCAGTCTGTTTTGTGTGTGTGTGCGCCGAATTATTTCTAGTCAATATGGTGTTTTAATAATTTTAGTATAAGTTGCTGATGACATGTGCAAGTCAACTGAGGCTAAGTGAGGTCAAATTGTGTAAGTAGTCTTTCTGACTGGGTTGCATGGAGTGAATATCTTGGGTGCCTTCCCTGTGATCTTTATAGGTCACATTAGGAATTGAGTTTCCTGTTCATGTAAATGTATTTTAGGGGAGAGAAGTGTGTGGTTAGTCTCTTATTTCTGGAAGAGATTAGCTAAAATGACAAAGAAATTGGTTTATGAAGCAAAACCACATTGGTTATTTCCTTGGAGCACTTCGTTAGAGTAGGTCTTCTCCTACCAAAGTAGGTGTTACTCTGCGTTTTATTTTACTTATTTATTTTTTTAATTGAAGTAGTTAGTTACAACATGTCAGTTTCTGGTGTACAGCGCAATGTCCCAGTCATACTCTGCATTTTATTGGTGTTCGTACATAATGGTTTTAAGGTATCTTACTTGGATAGTCTAGAGATCCTGACGTAATCCACAGCTCTCCCTTTCATATTCTCAGGATATGCTACCATTTCATCCTGGATGAAATACATGCAGTTGTACTTGCCATTCTGATATTTTTGTAGATAACACACTGGGTGTGGATAATTCCCCCGATCAGGTAGCATAGGAGTTCATTTTGGATATTTTCCCATTATGAGCAAAATGGATATTTGTTAAGGGAAATTAACGGCTTGCCAAGTTCCACCTCCATTGACTGTTCTTTTTAAGGAGGAAAGAAAAGATTTTTTTTTTCAGCAAAAAAATTTATTTTCCTTTCACCAAATATTTGATGATTATTATGGAGACACTATTTTAAAAGCTGGGCCATTTGAAGCATGGTTTGAGAATCTTCTTGTGAATTTTGAAATAATTTTTAAGCATTATTTTATTATGGTTTAATCTACACACATGAAAATGCACACATTAAGTATATAGGTCGGTGACTTTTATGTGTTTTTTTTCCTGTTTGACTACTGCCTAGGTGAAGACATGAAACGTTTCTACCACCCTCAAGAAGTTCCCTCCTTACCCTTCCTTGACAGTACTGCCAGGCTCCCCTCACCTGATACTCTGACTTCCATCAAAAAACATTATGTTCTTCTGTAAAGTATTTTTGAGATTCATCCCATGCTGCATTATCAGAACTTTGTGTTTAGTGCTGAGTAGTAATCAATTATATGCCCTTCTTACTCTTTAATTAAAAAGTTCCCTTGCTATTTTTTCTGAGCTATTCTTAATAAGAATGTGTAAAGCTTGTAAAAATATTTTTCCTTTTGAATTTGCCTGACATCTATACATTAATTTGGAAAGAATAAAATAGACATCCGACACATTTATAAAGATGAAAAACAGGTAAATATTACTAGAATTGGAAAAGAGAATTAAGTTAAAACTGTTGGTACAGGGCAAAAAAATTTATAATCAGCTAGATACTAATAAACTAAACTTTTGATGACTAGATCTTTTAATACAAGAAAGATTCAATGGCAATAAAACAAAAATGGAGACAGGATGAATGGAGCAAGTAAATGATGCCATCATAGTTTAAAAGAGTCCTGCAAATTCCGATTCCCTGAGCATTTCATAGGTGGAGGCTTGTACCTTGCTTGATGAGGGCTCTATAAATACCATTATTCATTGAGGCTTTTAAAATGGCAACATTTTCATTATAATTTTTTTTATGAGAGCAAATGTTTTCGTAAAGATGTAAAATCCATTTACTAGTTATTTACTTACTCGGAGGTAGGGTTTATTTGGTAAAGCAGGATAAACACATGAAATCTTCCATTTTGTTTACTCATATTGAAAATTACCAGCTCATTCCAAAAGTGATGATTTACAGGTAATGCATAGTGACTGCTTGGCTATCCACTCTGTGCTAAGTCTGTATGTGGATTAGATTATAGCCCACAACACCTAAGATTGTTTCACAGATGAGGAAATCGAGCCTTATAAAGGAGTTTTCAGTAGTTTGCTGAAGATCTCATAGTAAGTTGCAGAGCCCATATTTGCCCCCTGCCGCCCCAGAAATCCTTACTGTAGAACAAGTTCTTAACATCTGTGTCACATATATTTTTCCCATTCTGCGTCTATGTTAAGCAAATGTTTGTCTCCACTGAAATCATTCAGTGGAGAGGACAAGGTAGGGCCAAGTATAGAGTAATAATAGCATGTTGTTAGAAACCTCTGTTTGTGAATCTGTTAGTGGACAAATGCGGAAGAGTTGTCCAGTTAGCTTCATATTCAGTCTGTCATACTTGGGTAAGTTTTTGTTTCTGTGATTGAGTATTTTATTATCAGATAGCTTCTAATCATGTAAAGCTTACCATCTACATGGTTTACTTAATGTCTGAGTATTATTGCTTTATGAAAAAAATAAGATTTGATATGAATATGAGAATGTTTGAGAGATGACTTTTTCATAAATGTCAATTTCCATTTTTCTGCTATGCATTCCGTTGGACCAGTGGGGTATGGATACCATTTGGTAATATTTACTAGAGTATGATCTAGATGGGTATGTATTCAGGTAGAATGAGTTAATTTTATGCCTTTAATTTGGGGGTGGGGGGCTTCTGGTCTTGTATGTACCTGTGATTATGACTTTCTTGGCTTATTTTACATACCATATCTATTTGTGTGCCCCTTTTCATTTACCTAGTTTCTTTGCCCATTCTTTAGAAGAAGGTGGGGAAAAAATCAAGAGCAGATTTCTGATTTGTCTGTGTTTGTTGTAAAATAGCGACTCTGTCACTGAAAAAGTCTGCTGAGTGAAACTTGACTCAGCTCTTGCCACAATGGACAAAAGAGTTAAATTTAGAGAGAAAGTCATTTGCTCCCATTTGCTCCTTGAGGTCAAAGGATTGTTTTAAAACTCTGACATGGAAGCTAAGGGAGTGTAACCTAGAATGTAAGATACTTCTTTTGTAGTCTCAAGGTTTATCTTAAATGTATGGAAATTTTATATTTTATTCCATTATACATTTGTTTTAGCTTAACATAAAAAATTAAAAATTATCTTCTCTCTTTGAATGTCCTTGCCCCAAAATTAATATCGGGAGCCCAAGTAACTTTGCCAATAATTGTTGTGTACTTCTTGATGAATCTGTGTTCTTTACTAGTACTCAAGAGCCCTAGCTTGATGACCTTTTTAGAAGATGAGGATTAACTGAGATAATTATTCCTCCATTTGGTGTGAGAATCAATGTCAAGGGATAGGGAAAAGATATACAAATAAATATGGTGAATGTAAATTGCATGATAAAGTCTTCAAGAAATAGTTTTTATGGTTTTTTGTTTGTTTGTTTTTTTAACATGTATCCAATTCCTTGTAAGTATAATTGACTAGATCTTGAATTCATTTCTTCATGTATGTCTTCTGTAACATCTCTTGTTTACTTTCAGGTGAGAAGCCATTTAAGTGTGACCAGTGCAGTTATGTGGCCTCTAATCAACACGAAGTAACCCGCCATGCAAGACAGGTTCACAATGGGCCTAAACCTCTTAACTGCCCACACTGTGACTACAAAACAGCAGATAGAAGTAATTTCAAAAAACACGTAGAGCTACATGTGAATCCACGGCAGTTCAATTGCCCTGTATGCGACTACGCAGCTTCCAAGAAGTGCAATCTGCAGTATCACTTCAAATCTAAGCATCCTACTTGCCCTGATAAAACAATGGATGTCTCAAAAGTGAAACTGAAGAAAACCAAAAAGCGAGAGGCTGACTTGCCTGATAACAAAATTACTGATGAGAAAACAGAAACAGAGCAGACGAAAGTAAAGGGGGATGTGTCTGGGAAGAAAAATGAGAGGTCTGTAAAAGTGGAGAAAAAAGATAATGTTTCAAAAGAGAAAAAGCCTTACAGTAGTGCCTCAACCCAAGTGGCTACCAGAACTCGCAAATCAGCCACGGAAACTAAAGAAGTAGATGTGCATACAGGAAATAACTCAGAAAAAACCTTTAAAACCAAGAAAAGCAAAAGGAAGATGGAAGCTGAAGCCCATTCCTTGCAAGATCCTGTTAATGATGAGGAACCTGTGACAAAAAAGAAAAAGAAGGCAGAAAGCAAATCCAAAAATAGTCAGGAAGTGCCAAAGGGTGACAGCAAAGTAGATGAGAATAAAAAACAAAATATTTACGTGAAAAAAGGTACGAAGAAGAAGACTCTGAAAAATAAACCATGTAAAAAAAGCAGCAAGCCTGCTCAGAGGGAGACTGTTCAGAGGAGGCCTTCTCAGGTGGAGCCTGCGCAGGTGGGGCCTGCGCAGACAGAGCCTCTGCCTCCCACGGCATCTGCTCAGGGGGGGCCTGTTCAGACGGAAGCAACTCCCCCTGTGGGGCCTGCTGAGGTCGAGATTGTTCAGAAGGGGCCTGTGCACATGGAGCCTCCTCTTCCCATGGGGCCTGCTGAGGTCGAGGTTGTTCAGAAGGGGCTTGTTGAGATGGAGCCTCCTCCCACGGAGCTGATCCCCAAAAGGTCTCCTCGAAAAGATAATAAGGAAAAGTCCAACATGCAGGGTGAAGTGGCACAGAAAGAGCAGGTCCTTATTGAAGTTGGCTTAGTGCCTGTTGCAGATAGGCTGCTTCTAAAGGAAAGCGCTGGTACACAGGATCTCTCAGCACCGTCACCACCTCTGCCAAAGGAAAACGTAAAGGAAGAGAAGACAAAAGACCAAAAATTATTCACTGCAGACGAAGGAGATAAAGAAGCCCCTCTTCAAAAAGTGGAAGCAGAAGAGGCAGATAAGAGTCTGGCTGGTCTTGCTGCTGTTACCAAGGAATCTGCCCCTATTTCATCCTCTGAACAAAACTTGAATTTGCCAGAGGGTGAAACTTCAAATGGTGGACATCAGGCTGACACTGTGCTTTGTGAAATGGAAGTGGATACTGAGGAGAACAAAACAGAGAATCCCTCTGGCAGAGACTTGGCAGTTGAAGAGCCAGTTCCACCACCGCTTCTTCCTCTGCCACTGGAGAAACATGAAGCAGTGTCCAAAACTGCTGTAGCATCACCTCCTGTCACCGTGGCAGTAAATGAGTCTCAGGAAATGGATGAAGATGAAGGCATCCATAGTCACGACGGAAGTGACCTAAGTGACAACTTGTCAGAGGATAGTGATGATTCTGGATTGAATGGGGCTCGGCAACTTCCACAAGAAGCTAGTAGCAAGAATGCAAAGGAAGCCTCGGCAGTCAAGGTGACTGAGGGAGATTTTGTTTGTATCTTCTGTGATCGGTCTTTTAGAAAGGAGAAAGATTACAGCAAACACCTCAATCGCCATTTGGTTAATGTGTACTTCCTTGAAGAGGCAGCTCAAGGGCAGGAGTAGTTAAACTTTGGAGAAAGCTTCAGTTCTTAATTTGTAAGGTCTATGACATTTTATCTTCATTTGTAGTTGCAGACAACTTTTTGTTTTTAAAATTGCTTTAATAAGTGTTCAATCTTGAGTTTTAAATGGCACTCTTAGGACTCTGTATACCTACTGATATGTAAATTTTAGTAAATCCAAGGGAGTTAGTGTGCTAAACCAGCAGATACCTAAATCTGTTAGCTTATGCATTTAATTGAACCAGTAAGGCCCAGGTGATATTACATATTCTATTGCTTTGCCCAGATACAACTTCTCAGTTTTTTTCCCATGTCTGTCTTCCTCTTTCACTTTGTTTATTCTTAGTTCCTTTTTTAGCTCTATAAAAATTGGCATACTCAAGCAATTTGAGTATTTGCCTGCTTTATATAAAGTTAGCACTTTAAAATTGTTTTAGTGATGAGAAGAGACATTTAAATTGAAGAGAAATTCTCCCAACAATGGACATTGTATCAGTCCAGGTATTTACTTCTTGAGTTTTGATCAAATGTACTTATTTGTGTATATGTTAATCATCATAAAAAACATTGATTTTGGTGTGTTTTTTAATTTTGGTGCTTTAATGGCTTAATACGTTGCACATTTAAAAAATCTATGCAGTTACATTTTTTGTAGAAATAGCATTTGTGTTGAACAGTGATACTTTATACATGTATTTTCCTGTATTTTTTTCCTCTTTGGAGGGATGCTTTTAATCTTGTTTGCAAAAGGGCAGGTTTTTTGTTATGTTTTGTTTTGTTTTTCTTTGCTGCAACTTTCTTTTTTTCCAGATTATTAGTGTGTGCATATTTGTGAGCAAATGAAACATGCAGGTTCAATTCATTGATTCTGATATTCACATCTATGCCAGAACCTGCATTTCATGTAAGTTATTTATTTTAAGTGGATGTTGTGAATTCACAGCTCTCAGTTTGAACTTTACAGTAAATGAACTACTAGGCTCTATGTGGAATGGATTTTTATCCCAAATACCAACCATCAGTAAAAAATTTTGACCTGTTTTAGTATAACTGCTTCCTACATGTATAGTTGTTAGGTTATATCCTTGAGGAAAATCTTTTTTCATAGATGGTTGGTGTTTATTTGTCTACTCAGCTGAATAAAGAACTGTAAATGATATTTGGAAATACAAACCTGGAATTAGGAGACGTAATTACTCTTTCAGGTTATACAGAATATGCTTGTGAGATTCCAAAGCCATAGCAATTATATGGAAAACCTAGGATAAGAAAGGTAGTGTGAGTGCTGGTAGACCAGCTGCAACTTCCTATGAATACAATGAAAAAAGGCTGGTGAAACTTAAGTACAGTCCAGATTAAAAATCACACTTCTCAGGGATCTCCACCTACTTGTGGGTGTCCTGGCTGTTCCTGTGACTGCCTTTTTCTCCAGGTGAGGCCTCAGTGAATTGCAGCTGTTCTGGTGTTCCTATGGGGACACTTTGTATGGAGGAATATGTACTCCCAGGCTTTGTTGGTAGGTTCTTTAGCCAGTCATCAAAGACTATGAAGGAGTCTAACAAAGAATTTTTCTTGTTGATAGCAGTTATTCATTGTAATCCAGTAAAGTATGATCCCAGTAGGGAACCTTGAACAGTTTAGATCCTCCCATGTTGTATTCTGAAATAACCACTCTGTATTTCATTTATTTTCTTTTGTCTGGTGATCTCTGAGGCAGGATTCAGAGTTTGGCAATGCAACATGAAAGTAGGAAAAGTATTGAAGTGTGGGTGGAAAACTTGTTAAAAATCTGAAAGTTTGAAGTTTAAGCTAAAAGGCATTTGAATTTGGAATTGACTGGGAGGCCAAAGATTTAAAGAAGTGGAAGATTCTCTCAAGACATGAGGAGTAAGTTGTATTTTGCTTGTTTGTTTTGTGTGCATGATGGAGATTTGTAAATGATGTTGAACTCTGGGTGAATTCTCAGCTCCGACAATCATTGTCAACAGAAAATCAAGCTGCAAATATTTATGGTTTAAATCTTAAATTATAAGTCTAGTTAAATCTTTCTAACAACTAGTTTTAATGTTCATGGGTACATTTTGTGTAAGTTACTTTTTACAGTATATATGAAAAGATTCATGCTGAGTACAAATTATAGATTGGAGATCAGTTTGGGGAATAGGTTTTTGTGGATTTGTTGATACTTTAAAAGAAAAAGATTTGATTTCTGAGGAATTGGACCAATTTTCTTATCTAAATTTTAAGGGAGAATGCCCAAAGCAGAAGTATGAAGGAAATTACAACCCTTTATTAAAGTGATCCGTGAAAATATTTTTACTGGAATTTGAGTGGACTTGAGTCCTTGATTCCAGAAAATAAGGATTTGATTGTCAGGCCTATATTAGGTTCTGAACCTTAATGCCATGTATTTGTACTTATTAAAAATTGTTTCAGTGAAAACTATGTTAGTAATATGAACTTCTGGTCTAGTTGGGAGTTCATTTGAAAAATGTGATATTTGCATGGGACTGTTTGAATCTTTTTGTTTTTTCAGTTTCCCCTCCTGGATAGGATTGAAGCTAGAATTTTCCCTTTTGATAAAGGAATAAAAACTAAACACATTATTTGTAAATTAATGATTAGTACTAGAGAGAAAGTTGAAATACTTAGAATACATTATAAGCCTCATCCTAGGTAGCCATATAAAAATATCAATTTTAACTGTCTTCTGAACCTGTATTCACATTGGTTTTTCAAGATATTTTAAGTTATATTTTTCCTCTTTTCAGGGCTGCTTCTATGGGACTTTTTTTTTTTTTTTTTTTTTTTTTTTGGTAAATTGAGGTGTAATTCACAAAGGGCTGCATTTTTTGTTAAGGTTTTTTTACAACTATGGTTCAGTGTTATACTCTAGTCTTCCAAGAAGGGCCATTTTACTTTATAGAGTCACTTCTAAAGTCATGTGGTCTTTAACTCTGGGGACTATTTTGCATATGAATGCTAATTCAGATTTAAGCTTAAGTCATCACGTATCACCCCATGAATGTTGACAATGGAAGTAATACCTTTCCTGTAGTTTCAGTTCTTGACTGAAAAACTGGAAGGAACTTCATTTTCTTTTTTTGCACATATCAGGAAAACAGCTATTGTGCAGTTACCTTGTTGACCTCAGCAGATAAACTGGACTGATAGTGTTAATTCAGATTTAAGAAATTATCTGAATCTTGGTTTGTGTAGATTTGTGATCTACATGCAATATTAACTAGATTGGATAGATTTTACATTTTCGTATATATGCATAGGCTCTTCCCACTCCTCAGCATCCATTAGTTTATTGAACTTTGTAAGCTGGCATTGAAACGTTATAATGTATTGTTGCACCAGTTTTATAAGCTTCTACAGTGCAATACATGTTATGTTTCAGAGACAAACCAAAGGTTAATTTCTCAAGGTTCTTGCTGTTTGCTTTAGCAGCATTTGATGGAGTTATACATTTATAATAGATGAAAAATAAACCAGATTGCAAATCGGTTTTTTTTTTTTAAAGCAAACCATGTACCAAGTTTTTGGTCCAAATTGTGTAGGATAAGTTAAATTGCATTCTATTAACCAGTATGAGTGTATTATAAGTATAGTTATGTTGAAATAAAGTGTTAAAAAGCATTTTATGCCTTTGTTTATTATTGGTACATCACGTATCCAGGACATCAAGTTTATTTGGCTGGAATTTCAGGTGTGTTAATTTTTAAAGTCTTTTACCCTAGATAACCCACAGTAGGTAGAAAGGTTGTGGTAATCCTTGTTTGGGGTAGCAATCCAGTAGGTAGTAGTCCAAAACCTGTCTTCCTATAATCTTCCTGGAAGGTGAGGGTGGAGGTAGGGAAGAAGCAACCTATAGTAATTCCTTCCCAATCACAGTTCCCTTTAACATTTTTTTAAAACATTTTTTTTATTGAGTTATACTCATAGTCATTTTACAATGTTGTGCCAAATTCCAGTGTAGAGCACAATTTTTCAGTTATACATGAACATACATATATTCATTGTCACATTTTTTTTTCACTGTGAGCTACTACAAAATCTTGTATATATTTCCCTGTGCTATACAATATAATCTTGTTTATCTGTTCTACATATGCCTGTCAGTATCTACAAATTATGAAATCCCAATCTATCCCTTCCCACCCCCCACCCCCTTGGCAACCACAAATTTGTATTCTATGTCTGTGAGTCTGTTTCTCTTTTGTATTCATGTTCTTTTTTTTTTAGATTCCACGTATGAGCGATCTCATATGATACGGTATTTTTCTTTCTCTTTCTGGCTTACTTCACTTAGAATGACATTCTTCAGTGACATCCATGTTGCTGCAGTTGGCGTTATGTTGTCATTTTTATGGCTGAATATTATTCCATTGTATAAATATACCACCTCTTCTTTATCCAGTCATCTGTCAATGGACATTTAGTCTGTTTCCATTTCTTGGCTATTGCAAATAGTGCTGCTATGAACATTGGAGTGCAGGTGTCTTTTTGAAGTAGGGTTCCTTCCGGATAAATGCCCAGGAGCGGGATTCCTGGGTCATACGGTAAGTCTATTCCTAGTCTTTTGAGGAATCTCCATACTGTTTTCCACAGTGGCTGCACTAAACTGCATTCCCATCAGCAGTGTAGTAGGGTTCCCTTTTCTCCACAGCCTCTCCAGCATTTGTTATTTATGGACTCTTGAATGATGGCTAGAGAATTAACTACTGTTAATTGCTTGATACTAACTCTTTACCTCCTTATATGTATGGTATTAATGCTTGATTTCTATGCTTTTTACATAACTGGAATTATTGACATTCTGCAATGAGTAGAATTTGGAGATCTTTGTCGGTATTTAGGACCTTTCTCATTCTTTATAACTATTGCATAATGTTTCATTGTATGGATATATATGATTTAATTACTTTGATTATTGCCAAAATTGGTTAACATTCTGGAATTACTTTGAGAGTGGACACTGTGTGAAGTGAGTGATTCAGGGGACCCATAATACCTGATAACCTTACAGTTATGTTTATGCTTGTGTTCTTAAGATAGAAGTTGTTTCAGATTTGCTGTAGGAATCAGGTCTTGTACTCTTTATGTTGAAGGTTTTTTTTTTTGACATAGAATATGTATATATTCAAGATGTTTAATTTAGTGTTGCTTAAATGATGAACAACATGTTCATTTAACATTCAGCATTGATAGAGTAGGGATTAGCCCCATGGCACTCAGCTAACATTACTGAGAGGAATTAATTATCCACATGTTGGTATATTAAGGGATTACAATTTAATGAGACAGAAGTCCCTGCTAGAGCATAAGCTGTAATGGTTGCTGGAATTAGCCATGGCTGGTGGACCAGTGTGGAGAATCCAGCAGGAGTTTTATTTGCATGGAAGAACAGAGATTTTTCTGATGAAATATAGCACAGCTTAAAGATACTGACAGGCAAGTTTGCCCAGTAACAAGCATAGGACCTTCAGTTAGTAATCCTTTTGTAAGTACCAGGCACTCTTCTAAGCACATCACATTAACGCTTAATCTTGTCAACATCCCGAAGAAGTAGATTGTTATTCCCACTTTGCTTCCTACAGACAAATTGCCTGATGCCACACAAGTAGGAAGTGGCAGGTCTGCATCACAGTGCCTTTCAGAGTAAGTGAAGAATGTTATGTGGGGAAATGTGTGCTGTAATAAATACAAGAAGCAATTAGGATGGTGGTCAAAGGGATTTCAGCCTAATGTTAGTGTATTAATTACATTAACATGATATAGAGGGCACTCTTTAAACAGGCCCCCCCTCTATATTGTAACATTTAGCTAGTGTATATTTACTAAAGACCATAAGAAGCTTACCACCAGTAGTCAGATTAATTTTACCTTTTTGAGGTGAAAGAAAACTAGTGTAAAACAGTTGTTCCCTGATTCCATTTATGCCTGGTTTTGACATAAAGCATAAGCTGGCATTTTTAGATACACCATGATATTCATTATGTGGGTAGCTATTTAAAAACATCAGAACGTATCATCATTTAAAGGTAAGAACTGGATTTACTTTAAAACATCCTTGGTTCTTGGGCCCCGTGAGCCTGCTGTATTGTACACCCTGATATTTATCCCATCTAATCTGTTTATTAGAATGTCACTCAAGTTGCAGACCCTTGGCAGCAGGTACCTGTCTCCCGGTCTCCCAGAATCCACTAGGAGTGATGGAGACACACAGCAACAGGCTGTCTACTCTAGACAGCAGGAAGTGGTAAGAGCAACAAACGTGCCCACGTGGGTTTCTGTCTGCTTGTTTGGCATCAGAGATGGAGAAATGCTGGTAGGTGGCCAATGTGAGGAGAGGGACTTTTCCATCCCAGGTCACTCCGCCCCTCCCCTTGGTTGTAGAATCAGGAAAAGGAAGGGTTTGTAGGGCCTCAGTGTTGTCAGTTTGGATTCTGTCTAAAACCTCCTTTCTCCTTGGAGAGTGATAGGATGCTATTTAGAGATGTTACGGTCCTTCATACCTGTGTTCACACTACCTCCTCTAACAAGACCATGCAGGTAACTGACTTCCCGAGGTAGCTTTCTGCTAGTCTGAGTGCTCCTTGAGGGTTGTTTGGATGGGAGAGGAGATAGCCTA